GGAAAAAAAAAAACTGCGAAGAAATGGTTTGCTTTACGCAGGCTGGCTCACAAATTTGCCTTAGTTTCAAGGAGCACGACCTGATCACATGCGACTCGAAAGTTCATGTTGTTGTTTCCCTAGGGATTTAGTGAGTTTTGACCAACTATACGTGACACGTTTTCCTCCAGTCGGAAAAAGGATTTGAGTTGGGAGGTATAACAATTTCGCTTCTTTTTGCAATTAAATGCAGTTCGAAATGTCTTCTTATAAAAATATTAGGCCTGATTGACCCCACCGTTATAACATTATAAGCACCAGTACTTTATGCATATTTATCTGCAGTAGCGCCGGAGAAGATCTGGTCACGATAACTTAATTAAAGATATATAGCGGATGAGGAGGATCATTAACTAACGAAAGTTCAATTCAAAATAGGGAAATAAGAACAAGCAAAAAAAAAAAACAACAAGAAAGGAAAGGTCCGTTTCCTAGTGTTTGTGCTCATCTCAAGTTGGTTCACACTGGTGAAGTAAGCACAAACCTTAGCCTGCGAACACAGACGTATTTCCAGCTGTCGCTTGTCTCCGCCGAAAAATAACGTCTGTGAACCCGAGCCAGGAAACGATTTCTGTGACGTAATGACTTTTGTTTTCTCTTCGGCCAATCAGATTCCGTGATAGAATGAAACTCGAGTGCTCCTCGCAGCGAATACCCCGCGCAGTAGTTCTGGGGCTAATTGAGCTAAGCTGAGATTGGCTTAGAATTCCTACGTCACAGAAATCGTTTACTGGCGCAGGTTCGCAGACGTTAGTTTTTTTCGGCGGAGACAAGCGACAGCCGGAATACGTCGTCATAAGTGTGCTATGCTTAGAAGTGTTTTGTATGATTGGTTCGGATTACATTTAAGAAAATTAGAAGATTTTCTCTGTGTTTTATCGAGTTATGGATGTGTGAGCGGAAGTTGAAGAGAGCAAGAAATACCGTGGGAACGCGAGCCGCAGGCAAGTGTGGTCCACAGCTTTTTTAGGGTTCCCGCAAACTTTCATGAAGGTTAAGATTGAAATTCATTGAAAAGGTTTTGAATATTTTAGGAAACAATGCGAGAAAGAGACCAGAAAACAACTAGTTTATTACATACACTTTTCACTATGTCTTCCTTTTTGCTTGCACTCTGCATCATTACGTCAAAAGTTCGTGCTCTATAGTTCTGTTTCTATCGAGGTTTAGTACAATTCTACTGGTAAAATAATGCAAACGTTACAATCTGATTGGCTAAACCATCGCACACTTTTATAGCCATTAGTGTGCAGTGGCTTGATAAGGTCACCAACATGGCATCGCTTTGAAGTTTCTCGATCGGTTCTCCGAAGTTTTGAAAGAACATTCAGAAACAGAAAAATGACTGAAACGTGAGGGTTACTAATGACAAGAGCAATAAATGCAACTTTCAGTTGAAAGTCTACTCAGTAAACTATTAGATTATTCGCTCACCTCGATCAAAGCAATCACGAGCGAATAAAGAGGTTTTTCAATTGAGTTTCGAAAAACCGTAAAGCCAAACGGATTACTTACCAATTAGACAACTCAGCCAATCTCAAGCCGTGGTGCAACCAAAACCGAATTACTTGCTTGACTACTTTAGACACTTGAATAGAAGTACATGTAGGGCTTTTAGCTCGCGCTTCCTTTATGTCGTTGCAGACTGTTTTCTTAAAAGTGCTGCCTGGTGCGTTGTGTAAGCAACTTGAAAAAACCTATGTAAACCTTACAAATAATCATGTTTATCTTATTTCAGTAGTAATCTTAATTCTTCTTACAATATCATTGCATCGCAAAACAGACTTGTGAGGAGAATACTGAAAATTATCAACCAGCAATGCAATGTCCTGGTGCATCTCCAAACTGTCATAAAAAAATGGATCACAGAAACTAGTGCAAACATCAAAACTGCTCTGAAGTTTTTTTTTTTTTTTTAACGTAAAAGGTTCATAAAAAGTCAAGTTTGAAGAATTGAAGAGGATTAAGGTAACGTAATCATGGCTTAAATCTTGAAAAGTTTAGCCCAAATTGTTCCAGTGCGTCGATGGTAATCCGTGTTAATCTTCTCCATCGTTAATCATCCTTGTTCCTTCATGGTTTATTATTATCTCTGTGGTGTTTTTCTATCTTAGTAAACAACTATTTTCAAGTCTCCTTCAATTTAGGGGTAATTTTGTACGTGGTCAAAATGGCTCAATAAAGACGACCACATCAGCATTGCCATTATTTTTTTATCGTGTTTAAATGAATGCTTTACCTTACCTTACCTAAAATACCGTGACTGAGCTCCTTTGAACATTTTCTTTCAGTGCAATATTAATTACGTATTTTCCCCTCAGTCAAACTAGTATAACTGTTAATAACATCATCTGGGTGTTTAGACTAGGGCATAAACTTTTATGAGCTCGTTCACAGACTTTCAATCCCCGGATTAGCTTTGTTATTTGAATTAGCTGGTGTCAAATCATTTTGATTTTCAATCAGTTGTTCTCTCCCTGTCAGAGATTTGTTTCAATCCAGCGTAGTTTTCGACGTCTTTGTGGAATTTCGGGCTCCAAACGTAACAGTGAGTTTTGACTCGACGATAGAAACCAAACCGAGCACCTCTTCTCGGCTAAATAGTCGGCCGAAGGACGCCCGTCGACATCGCTTTGTTTGCTCGAACCCGCGCCCGAGGGACTTAGCGAAGGCCTTCTGATCCTTTGGAATGTGATAAGCTCTTTGAATCCTCTTCGAAACCGCGGGTTTCTCGCGCCTAAGATGATAGGATTACACACACTGTACAGGAAGCCGCAGATGTACGCGGAGCGCAAAAAGTGGCGGGAAAGCCGGCTGGCGTCGGTCACAAGCGTCAAGATCCCGTAAATGAAAAATGGCGTCCAACAGGCGACGAACGCCACCAGAACAAACAAAAGGGTGATTATTATCTTCTTCTGCGCTAAAATGCCTCGATCGTCAATGATAGCTGTATCACGAATACGTTGACAATGCGACTGAACCGCCTTTATAATCCTCCAATATAAGATAATCATAGCCACGATGGGAAATGTGTAGACCACTGACACGAGAAACAAGGTATACGAGATGTCCAAAGCAGTGCGCGGAAATCGAGGCCCGCATATACAGGACGATGATTTATACACAATCTCAGTCCATCCCAGAATGGGACCTATGGAGCACGCGAATGCTGAGACCCAAACCACTACGATGATCACTAAAATACGTCTTGGTGTTATTATCTTTCTTAAAGGTTTAACAATCGAGAAGTACTTGTGTATACTTACAGCGGTTAACGTGAAAATAGACGAGGCGAACCAGAAGGGGACGGTAAATCCGTTAAACTTGCACAGCGCTTCGTCAAAGACCCAGGCTTGTTTGATAAGAGCGACTATCATGAACGGTATGCAGAACACACAGACTCCTATCCCGGTCACCGCCAGCTGAGTTAGAAATATGTTCGTCCTCGTGCGCATTTGGCGATGGAAAATGACAACGCCAACCACCAGCGCATTGCCGAGGAAGCCAAACACGAGCGTCAGAAACAGGACGGAGAGCTGCAAGAAGGCGATGCCGTCGATAGTCCCACTGTTTTCATAATTTGTGCTGGTGGAATTCATTTCGTCCACTTTTAAGTTCGTTTGAATTGTTTCCTGAATGAGTGATTCGCCGGCTATTATCACTCACTTGGAGCGCAGCAGGCAGGAGTTAACTTGACGAAAGAAGAGCAAGGAGATACTTACGACGCCTTTCTGAGGAGAGATCAACGGAGAAAAGTTTGACAACCCAGGAATGGCGAGGTACTCTCGAGCGGTTGAGTGCCAGTGAAGGAATGCGCGAAACCAGACCAACTTGGTGTTAGTTTGCTTTTGCTTATCTGTGAAATCGTATTGAAGTACTCCTACTTTTACAAAAAAAATTGAATCACTAAGTACTTTGGGCTAGCTAAATAACCTTTTATCTCTTTGTTTACTAGCCGCCTTCTATTGACATAAGAATAAAAGAAGACCATGGAAGGACAGCATTAGGCAAACAATTAGCTACCTACCGTCATAGTCGTTCAAGCGTGGCCTAAAGTACAAGAAAAAAACGTTCAAAGCGACATTTTGTGTTTACGTCAGTTCCTATAGGTGACTACAGGCTTACACATTACAAATAAGGAAGTTGAGAGGGCAAAATTGAGTCTATAATGTAAGTGCCCTGTGAAGGACGTTACATTTAAGAATGTAAGATAAACAATGTGGAGAAACAAAATGTAATCTTTAATGGTCGGCATAACGTTACTGCTTCATAAAACAGGTCACAGCTCTGTAGAAAGCAACTCAAATAGGACCGAACAGGTACGTCTTGAACATTTTACCGTTGTGTACCTCTTGACTCTCCATATTCGGACTGGAGTTCCACCAAAACTTGTCATTTTCCATACTCGTTTTTAAGTGGCACATAAATAAAAGCCTTTTTACATTTTAGGGTATACAATAAGTAATTAGCGCCTTCGAATCGTGGAGAAAAAGTGCCTTATAAATCTATTATTATTACAATTATTGTTAAATGACTGTGAATATTACTTCATTGTGATTGGCTGTGAGTTGCCCAATTACTCGCTAATTTTCTGATTTGCACTGCAGTGTAAATTAACGCGCGTGTGTTCGTAGTTTTTCCGTCGTATATCTAATGAGTCATTGTATGAAAGCTCGAGGCAACGTCCACACTGTGCTTGAGAAATTTGAAAACGCAGATTTATTTCTACGGTTAGGTCTACCGTCCACACTATATCCGTCACGAAAACAGAGCTTTCCAGAAAACGCTCTTCAAACCGGAGGAATTTAGAAACGCCGGTCTACCGTTTTCGTGTGGACGGAGAACATTTTCAAAACGGAGCTTTTCGAAAACGATGGTGTCACGAAAATCATGTGATTTTCCTGACCGGGTTTTCCTCAAACACAAATCCAAAATGACCACAGCTGACTGTTGCATTTTGAAATTCCACAGGCGTAGTGTGCACGAAAAACGCTCTGTGCGTCTTCAGAGTGAAACGTCCGCTCTCAAATTCGTCCGGCGTAGTATGGATGCGGCCTAAGGATAAATATTTTTGCAATGAAACCAAGCTAAATAAAATACAGCCGTCTGAAGATGACACCCAGTCAAAAATAACTTTTTTTTTCTTCAGGTTAAAAAGGCAGCCTCAAACTCTGTTTGTTAACGTTTGCCAACTAAAAAACCACCAAATGGTATTACATGTTTATCAAATTATTCGTCTAAAAACGCCCGCGCGTGACAGCACGTGAGACGTGGTCACGCAAGTACCATTGAATAGGTGCTTTACGTAAGCGACATCCTTTGTGTCTGGTCTGAAAAATCCAGACAGAGTATATTATCGAATGCAAAATGTCTTGAAATGTCTTCCTTCATGAGCACGGAATGGCTTTCGTTGGATTACCACAGTTTAAAGGTTGGATATGCTGAATTTTCGTTCTTTTGGCTGGGTAAGTTTCAGTTTCAAATGTGCTCTCACTGTTTCAGATCAAGATACAAAGCGAAACGCTGACTCATTTGAAAAAGTTTACACCGCCGAAAACCCTAACGAATCGGACGGTGTTTTGAATTAAAACCGGTTACATTCTGTGCATTTCATGGCAAAAAACGGCATTCTTTGGCTTGGTAGTACTATTCTGTTTGGTTGTTGCGGTTTTAAAACTCTACAGTAGCACGCGTGCTTTCGGTAGTACAGTTATTGATGATATTGCACTTTCGACCATCATTGACAAAGAATCAGTTGGGTAAGATCGAATTCTGTTTTACACCGTTGTTTTAAATGTTTTGCACTTTTGCTCTAGTTAAAATTGCTGTTGATTTCACGATGTTCACGGCAATATGATGATGAAACATCAAAATTGTCGGTTTCCGTATTACGCGGCAAGGCAGTTTTACTGATCTCACTGGGAAATTAAAATCTTTGGTATAAATATTTCACTTCAAGAGGCCTTGGCGTGGCGCGTTTGATTGTTTGACAATTTCTACGCTTACATTTGGCAAACACGTTGTGTTGTTTCTGACTTCGTGTTGATTTCTTATCTGCAAACGTCAGTATTTTATAAACACTTTTGACTCACTACAGTTGAATCATTTGTATCTCAGGTCATTCTTCCGCGAATTAAACTTCGGAATTCACGCCGAGTTAGCAAACAGGACAAACAGAAACCCTAATAGCTGGCCGAGAATTTATAATTTAAGTTGTTTTATTGTCTGTGGACGTACCGCCTTGTCTTTTAAATAATCACTCAATTCATGGCGTCCTGTTGAGCAATATTCTAAGCAATTTTAGTTATTGTGATGCAAAAATTCGCCATCACCGAGTCAATTGTATTTCAGTTGGAAATTTTCTCATTGTAAACCCTTGCATGCTCTTGCAGTGTGTTAATTGACTGTTTTCAAATATCAACATACAGTCTGTAAACACTGAAGGTACAGTA